CAATCTCTTTCCAAACCCTTCACACACACTTTTTTCTGCATTTAATAAAATTCAAGCTATTCTAAGTAGACCTTCAACGATACTGTTAGGAAATAACATGCATTTCGTATAGACCTTTCTAATAGACTTAAGGGCTTCGTTCTTATTACCATTAACATTTTCTAATCTGGTCTTGTTGTTTGAGTTTGAGTAAATAGATGCACACTGACAAAAAAAATGAATTCGGGCTCGCAAGTTAATAACTTTTCTTCTGCATCAGCAAGTCCGTGAGGAGCAATACTAGCGGGGACTTTTTTTTTTTTAATACGCGGTAGCCTATATTTTTTTTCGGCAAATAACATACCGACGAACTCAGACCCCCAAAACGCACTAAATACTTTTGGGTTGCTTTGGGTTTTTTTAAAGTTTTGTTTCAGTAAGAATTTTACGGCGCTCGCAACTGTACAAGGTCACATGAGCGCGCTGTTACTGGTTGGCAGCTACGATAGTAACATCATGTTTTTCATTCACACACTCCCGGTGACATAATTTAGATAATTTGGGAGCGGACTGTTTTGACCTTGCATGGAAAATGGAAGCCGAATGTCAACTTTTCCCACGGTTTTCACATTCTGAATGTACATTGTCATGTCTTGTTTCACAAATCCTTGCATATATTCCTTACCGTTGTCTCTGTACGGACACAATATCAAAATAATGTAGTACTTTTGACTTGGCTGGGAAAAAAAAGGGGGGGGGTGGTGGTTCAAGACCAATAGCAAATTAGCATAGTTTGTGCGCGACATCGGACTGACAGTCTACCTGCTGTCATCGAGAACGAGGAAGAAGAAGAAGCTAAAGCGGAATCGGAAAAAAGTGCGTGTTCATTTATACTTTAAAATATCATAAGTTCCTCCCGGAGTCTGGCTCTCGTTTTAGGAAGGGTTTTACGGCACTTGCAACACAATTAGGTCATATTATAAGTGCCAAAGATTTGAGGTGTTACAAGAACAAGAGAGTAACAAACAAACCCCCCAAAAAAGGAGAGAATGATAAGGACGATAGATATTTGATAGAAAGGAAAGAAGAAGAAAACCACACTAGAGCACCCGCCAACCGTCCACTGAGTCCCAACTCTGGGTCTTGTGCGTGCAATGGCAGAGAACACAACCACTACAACATGGACATTAGCACTGGCAAAAAAAATAATTTTTTAATGACGCATTAAAAATTTGCAGTCAATTAATGAGCAGACTCTGATGTTCAGTTGAAAGAGTGCGTGATGTAGAACTGCATTTATTCACGAAAACTTAATTAAGGAAGCTAGTCACAAGGGCACACGCGACGAAATACAAAACACCTTTCAATTCGAACAAAAATGCGTCATTGTGCCCCATTTCATATTCGACCCATTTTTTAAATCTTTTTTTAAAGTGTGTTTTTTGGGGGGGCCGAAGTCGTTTAATTTTCCTCGGGTGTGGGGGGGGGGGAGGGGTGGTGGGGGGTGGATTCTGATTTACAGTGACTTGCAGATTCGTTTACATATAAACTAAAAATCAGTCATTTCGAAGGCGCGCGGGGGGGGGGGGTCTTAGTGTTATATAAAAGAGAGAACGAAAAAAAGCAAGAAATAGGCCATGGCGAATACCAACCATATACCGCGCATCATCAGAGCATGAAAGTCTATGCGGATGGTGTTACAATCCTTAGAGTAGATTTATGATGTATTATGCACTACCTACTGACTTGCTTGCACTGCACTGCTGTCTTTAATATCCCCCCCTCCCCCACACACACTCGTTTTCCCCTGGAAAAGTTAATAGCCGAGGAGAAAAACATGGAAGTCAAAAAACGAGAAAAAAAACGAACAAAAATATATTTTTAAAAGCAGGAATCTCGCGTCACGAGACGAGACAGCATCGTGAATTTCAGACGACGACACAAATCTTAGACTTGAGTACTCGGGGGTAAAAAAAATATGCAAGAACGGTGTGTGTGTGTGTGTGTGTGCTTGTGCGTGGGTGGGTAGGTAGGTAGGTAGGTAGGTAGGTAGGTAGGTAGGTATGTAGGTAGGTAGGTAGGTAGGTAGGTGGGTGGGTGGGTAGGTAGGTTGGTAGGTAGGCCGGCAGGCAGGCAGGTAGGTAGGTAGGTAGGTAGGTAGGTAGGTAGGTAGGTAGGTAGGTAGGTAGGTGCGTGCCTGCCTGCACCGCATGGACGTATAATGGGTGTTTAGTTTTTTAGTTTTAGTAAGAGTTTTACGGCACGTGAAACACAATGAGGTCATTAAGTGCCGAAGATTAGAGGTGTTACAAGAGAGTAACAAACACAAATACAAACTAGAAGGGGGAGGGGGGAGAAAAGGACAACAGAAGTTTGATAGGAAAGAAGGAGCAAACCACACCAGAGCACCCGCGTGTAATGGGTGTGCACGCACGCATAATATTCAAACAGAGCCAAGAATCAAACACACAACTTTTTTTTCTGTTGCACGTCCTATGCTTCATCAGAAATCACACACTCGAAAAATAAAAAGGCCTCGTCAGAGTGTTCCCCAGCCACCTGTAGAAAGTTACAAACTGTGAAGGACGAAGGATGATGTTTGTCTGTTTGTGTAAACAGACGCACGTGGCCACAACAAGTGATGGTCCTTTAGTGCAAGGAAAAAGTCAGAAGGACGCAATCAAGGGGCCATAGGCGCCCTCCAACCAACCACGACCGGGAGGGGGGGGGGGAGAGAAGGAGACAGATAGATAATATATAGAGAAAGAAAGACAGAACAGACGGA